CTATATAATGAGGAAACCACAACTTTTTTCCATGTAACTCTGTAGCAGGAAAATAGGATTTTAAAGAACAATTATGACTGTGGTGCTTACATAGGCGCTTCTCTGGTATCCTGGAAAAAAAAGTTTCAACATTTAAGATGTCATTTATATATATATAAAAACTATAATGAGGAAACCACAACTTTTTTCCATGTAACTCTGTAGCAGGAAAATAGGATTTTAAAGAACAATTATGACTGTGGTGCTTACATAGGCGCTTCTCTGGTATACTGGGAAAAAAAGTTTCAACATTTAAAAGATGTCATTGTTATTTATGTTTTCATAGTGTTCATTTCCTTTCTGTTTAATTTTGTATGCATTTTTTTCTTACTTTTTCTTTCCTTTTTTCTGTTTATTTGCATGCCTTCCTTCAATTTGTGTTGCTTTCAAAGGCCAAAGGGAGTAGAAGAGGGAGGGAAAGAAGGGGATAAGCATGAAGAGATAGTTCATGAGGTAAAGGAAGAAAGAATTAATGAGCATGTGAAAGGGAACGAGATTACAAAAACGTCTAATCATGAGAAAACCAGAGAATCAGGAGACGAGGAAAAAACACAAGATATACATGAGCAAGGGAAAGAAAAAGAACAGTGGAATAAAGAGGATTTGCAGAGGCGAGTCTCACAAGATGATGACAGGTAAAATACACTCATTTTTGTAGACATTTCCCATTAGTAATGTAGTCCTTTTTCCTACCTATGAAAACTATTTTGCCCTTTACATGTGGTTTATTTTCTTGCGTTTTATCTATTTATATTCTAATACAACTAATTAAGATGTTGGTAAAAATATTATCAAATAGATTTCTTAAATAGTCTTTAATTTGTATCCACTAGCTCTGAGAGCCTGGTTCATTGGTTTTCAAGTTATTGAGGACAAGCTGGATCAAACTTAAATTTCCTTTTAGTTGTTTGTTTTTTTTTGTGGGGGGGCGGGGGTTAAGCCTGAATTACTGTAATCTTCCTGATTTGTGGAGTCAAAAACCTTTGAAAAGAAGTTCTGAAAGGACTGAAAAATTTTAGCCTACTTTATAAGAAATGTTACATACTGGAAATGAATTTTTTAAAGGAGTAAAAAAATAACTAGCAACAAGTAAGCTTTGTTCAGTCTCTGGCTCTCTTGCCTCTTCATCTTCTGGTGGGTTCTGGATCAACTTTGGGAAGATTGCAAAGCAGAACAGCTGAAAAGCGAGGGTAGGCGCCCCAGGGATCATTAGAAGGCACCCTTTGAGAGGGGTTAGGCCCCTCTCAAAATCCATTCAGGTAGAGACACCACCAGAGAAGGACATTTGAACAGGGGCAAAGGCAGGGGAAAAACACCAGCAGCAAGGCGTAAAGCAACGGTGCTTTCATTTTTATGATACAAGGCACTCAACATGAAGCTGTCTTTACAGTGAAGATGAGGGCAGCACAGGTCCGAGAGAGACGTCAGCCTGCTGCCCCGGGAGGAGATTTCTCCAAGTACATTGATCTGAGACAGGCTCGCAAATCATGCACCTTTTGGGGGAGTTGGGGATTCTGGTACTCAGTCTGGTATTGATTCTGTAGAGTCTGCTTGATAAGAACACCCTATTATAAGAAAGTTTTTGCAATTAATATATCTAAACCCAATCTCAGTTTGTGCTTTACTTATAATTAATGAGAAAGATCATCGGGACAGATGCTTACCCCTTGGGTATACAATTCAGGGGTATCA